GTCACTTCGTCAAGGTGGTGCCCACCATTTAACACCGACTCCCACAACCACACCATCACCTCCAACTAGGTATGGCTAATGATTTACGCGTATATATCGTGCATTGGTTCCTTGAGCATGTATATCTTTTTGTACATACATATATGCGTGTACACACACGCAAACACACAAACACACACACACAGACACGCACGCACGCACGCACGCACGCACGCACGCACACGCACACGCACACGCACACGCACACACGCACACGTATATATGTACAAGTAGGTCTGCCTCCATTGCTCTGCATCTTTCTTTTCTCCCTATCCTTTTTTTGCCCTCACACTCTCGTTTCCTTCCCGTCTCCCTTCCCCCCTCCTCGCCACCCCCCTCTCGCCACGCCTCCCTTCCGCCCGCAGTTTTCAGTGACGGAGCATTTCCGGCCAGCACCATCGCATGACCAGCATTTTTTCTAGGCGCCAATGGTCCCCGCTACCCCCTCTTGCCACACCTTGCTTTCTCCTGCAGTTCTCAGTGACGGAGCATTTCCGGCCAGCGCCATCGCATGACCAGCAATCGCTGCCAGGAGTCTTCTTCTTCTACGACCTCTCCCCCATCAAGGCAAGTGCCCCTTTTACCTCTTCAAACATCGCAAAGTATGATCTCGCTCTCATCAGGGCTAGCGTCCCTTGTGCTGCTCAGCTCGTCCTTGCTCTGCTCTCCCTGCTACTTGAGTCCGGATTGCTGCTTGACTGCTCCTTTGCTCCTGCTGAGATCGTACCCTGCACTCTGCACATCATGCCAGCTTGCAGCATGCTCCACTATACCCTGCACTCTGCACCTGTCTATCCTCTCATTCTTCTGTCGCAGCATCATGCTCATCCTCCTGCTGCGCTCTCTCGTTCCCGCTGCTCTGCTTCGCTCTTACCTTGTGCTGTGCGCATGTGTTCTCCTGCCTGCCTGCCTGCCTGCGGTGCGTTGGACCCAACAGGTGCAATATTCCGAACGCTACACCTCCTTCCTCCACTTTCTCACCAACGTCTGTGCCATCGTAGGAGGTGGGTAAAAGAGCCTTTATTTGCACTTCGCCTGTTTCAGTTCTATCAACCACCCCTCCCCCCCCCCCTGTTTTTCATTTTGGTTGTGAGACATCTCACTAAGAAGTCCCTCCCTTCCCCCGCTGCTGCTTTTTCTCCCTCATGTGCAGGCATCTTCACTGTTACCGGCATGGTTGATGCCTTTATCTACCACAGTCAGCGTGCCATAAAAAAGAAAATTGATCTAGGGAAACTCAACTAATCTGTCAACACTTAGTGCCTCACTAGCAAGACTATTACATGTGTGCCTGTAGGCACAAATATAGAAAGCCTTCATAGGCGATGCTAGGTTAGATGCTAAATCCTAGGCCTGTGGTACTAGTTCTCTAGACTGTATTACATCTGAAGATGGTGCAAACAAACTTGCTGCATTAGTGATGAACAATACACAGATGAACTTTCTTTGGAACCCAGCTGAATTAGATGTACGAGAATATTTAGTGCGGAATGCTGGGAAGTGCGCACCCACGTAATGTAATTTTCTGGAGGCCTGTCTCTAGCGAAGTCAACGGAAGCCTTATTTCCCTACTCAGCAAAGACGCTTATCTCATTCGTTACAATCGACAGCACTTGAGCTTGCTGCATGGCGAGCGACGCTCGCCACGTGTCAGCAAGCGGTGCCGTTCAAGCGCGGCAGGAGCTGGGGAGCCAGAGCAGTCTCCGAGCCGCTATCATGGAGCAGCTAGCCTCGCCGATTTTCGCCTCCGCTTCAAATTCACCGTCGTGGGTTCGAACGCTCTCAGGACCCGTTTCGCTCTCGCCTATTCCTTCAATAGTTGTTGGTGGTGGTGTTATTGCTTCCGAGCATCCGATTCCGACTTCGCGTCATTTGAGCTGTTGCCCTGTCCCAAGCAGAGGTCTGCTCGCGAGAGTTGTGCTACCGCGTCGTGAGCTGTTGCCGCGAAGCACGGGCTGTGTGTGTGAATAGCAGTCGCCGTTTGACCCCGATCGTGAATGAAGGGCATGATGCAGGAGGTGAAGGAAGGCACGAAGGAGAAGGTGGAGGGAGCCAAGGCGGGGCTCAAGGAGTCGATGGAGTATGCCAAAGCGGACATGAAGCAGACCTTCGAGAAGCTCAAGCAACCCATGAACAGGTGACTGAAAGTTGAATAATTCCTCTTCCTTTCTTTCTTGGCTACTGAGCTAACCTGCTTTCGATTCTGATATTCTTCGGACTTTGAGAATTTGATTCGTGCGTGGCAGGGAGAAGAATCTGGAGGCTCGTGATGAGGCGTTCGAGAAGAAGCTGGAAGCAACGAGGGAGAAGCTGGAGAGGAAGGAGATCGCCCACGAACGACGCCAGGAGGCCACTGAAGGTCCGTATGCATCTCTTTTGCTATTCCATTCCTGATGGCTTTTTAATGATGTTTTTTGGTCCATTTGTTTTTTTCCTTCTACTCACGTGCTATCTGTTGTACCGTGTTACCTTTCAATGGCTTTTCGGCAGAGGCGCTTCACAAGGTGCATGCATCCAAGGCGGAGAAGGAGGCGGAGAAGGGAACGGCTCAGCACGGAGTGACGCCAGGTGCTGCCGGTGCAACTGCTGCTGGCGTTGGTGCTGCTGGTGCTGGCGCTTACGGTGCAAGCCACGAGCGTGAGCGTGGAACTGGCCTGGGAACGCACGAGCGTGGTACTGGGACCGGTTACGGGGAGACTGGCACTGGGTATGGTGCGAGCCAAGAGCGTGGGACTGGAGGTGAAGGCGTGATGGGGAAGGTGAAGCACGCTGTGACTGGAAAGCCTTCTGCTGAGCACCATGAGCGTGGCCCGGGTTATGGTGAGAGTGCCACTGGCTATGGTGGGACTGGCACTGGGTATGGTGCGAGCCAGGAGCGTGGGACTGGAGGCGAAGGTGTGATGGGCAAGGTCAAGCACGCTGTGACAGGAAAGCCCTCTGCTGAGCGCCACGCTGAGACTGGCACTGGGTATGGCGAGACTGGCACTGGGTACGGTGCCACCCACGGTGAGCGTGGGACTGGCACTGGCTATGGTGCGAGCCAGGAGCGTGGGACGGGAGGTGAAGGCGTTATGGGAAAGGTGAAGCACGCTGTTACTGGAACAGGAGGTACTGCTGGTGAACGCCATGCCGGCACTGGCACTGGTTATGGTGAGACAGGACCTGGTTATGGTGAGAGGGGGACTGGCTATGGTGCAACCCAGGAGCATGGCACAGGAGGGATCATGGGCAAAGCCAAGGAAGCTGTAACCGGCGAGCGCCATGCTGGCACTGGCTCTGGCACTGGCTATAGTCAGGGTGCCACTCACGAGAGGGGAACTGGTACTGGCGCCGGCTATGGCACTGGTACTGGCGCAGGGTATGGTCACGAGAGTGGTGCTGGCACAGGCTATGGTGCAGAGAGTGGTGCAGCAGGGACAGGAGGTGGTGGTGGTGGTTTCCTTGGGACGATCAAGAGGGCGTTCACAGGATCAAGTGAGCCCACGGCAGAGCGTCCTGTCGAGACTGGACGCACTGGCACTGCCGGGCAGGAAGAGTATGACCCAACTGCTCCTGTTTTCATGAGGAAGTAGTTTTTGTTTTAATGGAGAAGTTAGGGGTTATGTACATTTGTATAGAATGTCATGTAGTGGAAGATGTACAATACTACAGTTTGATTGGCTAGGTTCACAGTACCTGCTGGCTTTTTGCGAGTACAGAGTACCTGCTCCGTGAAGAAGGCCCAATCAGAACACAGGCTTGGCTCATCATTTTGCCATACCTGGTTCCAAACCAATCAGTCCAGATGTTACGAAATCATCCACCGCAGAAGGACAGGCGGACCAATAACAACACACGCGGAGGTGTGCGCTGGAGGTTTGGGATCGCTGCTTGTACGCTTCTGCCTGCACCCACTGCTATCCACGATTCCACGCCTCTAGGGGCATTTGATCACTGATTTCTGCTGGTCTGGTCGTGTCGGTCTGGTCTCTTTGATGTGTAATCTCCTGTCGCCAGTCATTAGACTCTTATTTCTAGGTTTGAAGAAGTCTGTCGGCATTTGAGGTCTCGAGAAGCTTTGTGGGTGATTGATAGCCAATTTTCAGTGGAATCAATCATCTACAAGTAGTCACCCACTTAACGTCAACTCCTTCAGGAGTCACCTCTTTAGACCAGACAAATGGGCTCTCTGGATCTTTCCGGCGGTGCTGCCTGGTAAGAAAGCTCGACAGTGACCGGCGTTCTATATTTCTGGTGCTAAATAGCAGACACATCGCATGAAAAATAATAAAGACTACAATGTCGGTCATGCGCGGGTTTCGGCGCTTGTGATAGACTAATTATTATTTCTAATCACCACTGCTGTTGTCAATGCTTCTCGAAAAGGACGGTCTTCTTGTGTTTCGTGCAGCATTGATAGGATGCGGCTGCTTTTGTACAACGTTGGTCCTAATTTTGCGAGTTCCTTATCTCTTCATTTGTTTCACCTCGTTCATACCTTGTTCGTCCTTCTTTCTCTGCTTCCCTCGTCTGCTCTCTTCTGTGCATTTCGCAGGATGAGCCGTGTGGTAAGCCGATTAAAGCTCCGCATTTTTGGCCATGGCCCGAATCGCTTGCCTGCATTATTTCGCTGAGTTTCCCCTTACATTTGAGTGTGCTTATTCGATGCTTAAACCTTTTTACGTGTTGCTGGCATTGACCATCCCTATTTATGAAGGTTTTAGTATCAAGCTCCCTCTGTTCTCGTATTCTCGTTCTTCCGCCAATGACAAAAGCCCTTTCACCTGCCTTGATTTCAGGCCAGCTTATCCATTGGCTCCCGAGTGGCGGGTTTCGCGGGTCTCTGCGTCGCCTCAAATCAGGACGAGCAGGGCGGTAAGCGTCGGCGACGTGGCGCACGCCGATTTGCCGGACTGGTGCTGGTTTCGTCAGCCGCCGCTACAGCCACACCCGCTACAGCGACCCCTGCTACAGCTGCTACAGGGGAGAAGAAGACCTGCTGTGGAGGGAAGAAGCCGAAGGTCGAGGAGAAGAAGAAGAGCTGGCCGCAGATCATCCTAGGTACAGTCTTCCTTTCTTGATGTTCTCGGCCTGATGATGGAAAACCTAAGATGCGGGGGTGCGTTTCTTCAGGTTATTAGTCCCTGGGCTTTGTTGAGACAGCACAGGATTTTCCCCTTTTCGTCCCTAGCAGAGGGAGCAGTGACAGGAGGAGCAAGCAACAGGTGCTACGGTGGAGATTGCCCTGTACTATGTCTTTAGCCGCCTATGGTATTACCTTCAGAGCACTGTTTGTTCCCTTCCCTTCCCTTCTCGTTCCGAACAGAGGGAGCGGTGGCAGGAGGAGCAGCAGGAGTGACGGTAGAGACAGCCTTGTACCCGATTGACACCATAAAGACTCGCCTGCAGGTATGCGAGCCTCGCCAATTGAATCATATTGCGAAGAGAGCTTGCGAGTGCATTGCGTGAGCTATAAAATATCGTTGAAACTGTCTGGGTTTGTATGCTTGAACGCCATTAAGTCCGGGCTACAGTAAAGAAGCACCACTAAGGGTGATTTGTCCTCAATGGTGCACTCGAAATGCGTCAAACTGCTGACAACCGCCCAGCTTCCGTCACCAGCCAGCCAATGAAGGACCTCTAGTCTGGCCTCTCTGACAACCTCGTTGGACTATTGAGTCAACACCTTCTAGATTTGATTTGACACTCCGAGTCGATATTTTTGACAATATGTTGGCAGGCACTTTTGAGATGCCTCAAAAGATTCCCTCCCCGCATGCCCCCTCTGCCTGTCATCCGTCCCCAGGTGGCCACCTCGGGAGGCGGTATCAACTTCAAGGGGCTCTACTCGGGTCTCTCTGGCAACCTCGTTGGCGTGCTGCCGTAAGCTGCCCTTCCATCCACCCTTGCCTCGTTTCTCACTGTGCCTGCTTCTCTTCCTCCTCTTCCTTTCCTGGTCTTCCTTTCCTCCTCCTCCTCCTCCTCCTCCTCCTCCTCCTCCTCCTCCTCCTCCTCCTCCTCCTCCTCCTCTTCCCCTTCCTACTTCTCTCTCTCTCTCTCTCTCTCTCTCTCTCTCTCTCTCTCTCTCTCTCTCCCTATCTCTCTCTGCGCCTCTCACTCTCCTTCTCCCACCCACTCCCCTGCTCTCAATTCTGCCTACCCCACTCCCACTCGTAATGTCACAAGCAAGTTGCAATCTTCCACTTCATGTGCCATTGAAACACAATGCCAAGACAAGAAGACCCTAAACAACCTTTTTGTCTGATCCCCCATTCTATCCTTTACTTATGGCAACATCAACCATACACTTCTCATAAGCCACTGTATCATCAGCCATTATCCACATGGCCCACAAGTTACATCAGCCAGGATGCACATGTGACGAGCCACATCGGTCATGAATCCTTGATGTTCAGTCATCATCCGAACCCCACACTGCGCTCGCCTTTCCACTCCCATTTCCGCCTGTTCCGTTTCTGCAGAGCATCAGCAATTTTCATAGGCATCTCTAAGCCGGTCATTCCCCGTCCCCCCCCGCTCCCCCGTTCCGTCACTGCAGGGCGTCAGCCATATCCATAGGCGTGTACGAGCCGGTCATTCTCCCCCCCTCCTCTCCCCCTCTCCGCCCCCTCCCCTCTTCGGCCCCCGTTCCGATGCTGCAGGGCGTCAGCCATATTCATAGGCGTGTACGAGCCGGTCAAGGCCTACCTTTTGAACGCCCTTCCTGAGAACATCAGCGTTGCCGCTCACCTGGTGAGACCTAGCCGCCGTGCCACCCACTTCCACTCCTATTCACTTCTCAATCTCACTTCCTGTCCCAGGATTTCATTGTGTGTTTTCTTCAATTCTTCATCTATAAAAGAACGCGTTGCCATATCTATATGCTTCGTTGTATAACTATGTTGTTACGTCCAAAATCCTGTCTGTCCTTCCTGGCCATGTTCCCACCCATCCAGGCAGCAGGAGCAGCAGGAGGCACAGCAGCTTCTCTCGTTCGAGTGCCCACTGAGGTAGGCCATCCATGGCAGTGTGTTGTGTCCACTGAGGTAGTCTACAACGGTGCGCCGTGTGCATCCATAATGATGAGATGATGCGCCATGCACATCCATGATAGTCCATGATATGATGCCCATGGACGTTCATGTTAATCCATCATATGCATGCACATCCATGATTGTCTATTATGATCTCCCATGGTCATCCATCTTATTTATGATGAGCTGCCATGCACATACATTCTAGTCCATGATGCTGCACCATGATAGTCAATAATGATGCAGTCTGGGAGCTGCGTGACATCACTCAAGCTGCCTCTCTCTCTCCACCAAAGCATGATCTCCCATACCCTGTCGGCGCGCCAACCACCACCAGGTCGTGAAGCAGCGCATGCAGACGGGGCAGTTCCCCACTGCAGTCAACGCTGTCAAGACCATTCTCTCAAAGGAGGGATTCAGGGGGCTCTATGCGGTACGTTCCTTTCTTTATGTAGCACGATAGCTCTTCCATGCGGTACGTTCCTTCTTTTATACGGTGCGTTCGCTCTTATATGCGGTACATTCCCTCGGCAGCACGTTCCATTTACATTCCTTTCCCTGTATGGTACGTTCCTTTCTCATGTATTCTGGCTGAAATGCTGTCTTTCTTGTTTGCTCTGTCCGACACGTCCACATAGGAGGTACATACACTTGTCTGTGTACCATTTGGATGGTAGAATCTGTCCTCTGCTTGAAATATCTTGTGTTACATGTTTCCTTATAAAACTTGCTACAAATGTGCTGATGCCACAGGGTTATGGCTCCTTCCTTCTGCGAGACCTGCCATTTGATGCCATCCAGTTTGCCATCTACGAGCAGCTTAAGATCCAACTCAAGAAAACGGTGAGCTCTATCTCTGAACTCCCATTCACAGGCTTCTAGTTGCCCGCCACAAAGCTGGGATCGTTGCGAAATACTTATAGTTATGCTGTTTTTTTGCAACTGTGATATCCTGGTCTGTCGTCACTATAACTTCCTTTGTTCCCTCCAATCCGCAAGCCCCGTGCTGTATGTGCGATTTCTTTTACCTGCAGCCTTTGTGACATTAATTATTTTCTCCTTTTTTTGCCTCCATTCACTGTTTTGATCCTGCACGTTTTGTTTGGTGCAATATATTCAGCTGAAACGGGAGCTTAAGGATCCAGAGATGGCAGTGGTGGGGGCAATCTCAGGTGCCATCACAGGCGCTGTCACCACTCCCCTTGATGTCATCAAGACTCGGCTCATGACCCAGGTGCGTCATGCTGCGTTATGTAATTTCTACTGTTCGCGCAAGGCTCAGCGATTTCAATGGAAAGATGCCGCGTTAGAAACAGCAAATCACTCAGCAAACTCCCTCTCCCACCTGTCTCATGCACGCAATATCAATGCAGGGGACATCTGGCCAATACAAGGGCATCATTGACTGCATTCAGAAGACAGCCGCACAAGATGGAGCTGGCGCTCTTTTCAAGGTAGGTCTGAGGGAGCAAGAATGCATGCTCATCATGTTTCACCAGAACGGCTTGCGCCTCCTACTTCACACCTCTGATTATGTAGTCGCACTTCCCATCCAGCACAAGCATTTCACCCAATGCATAACTTCCTCCCAACCTACAGGGTGTTGGCCCCAGAGTTATGTGGATCGGTATAGGAGGGTCAATCTTCTTTGGAGTTCTTGAGAAGACGAAGCAGCTTATGCACAAGGCGTACCACACACCTCCCCCATCAGAAGCGTATTTCTAAGCGGTTGCTGCCTACCCTCACTTTTATCGAATCTTACAATCTTCAGGCTTGTGTTCTTTCACAATAAGCAATTACCACTATTCCGTTCCTTAGTGTAGTGCCTTTTTAGTTATAAACTGCCAATAGGCATACCATTGCATTTATTCAAGCAAACTACCATCGGAAATGTGGAAGCTTAGAGCTTGTAAGCAGCATCAACTAAACTCTATACATGTCAACCTACCTACAGCATTCACTCAAAAGTTCAGGGAAACTGGAAGCAGCTTCTAAAATAGCCTCCACAGAGGAGTGATACTTTAATCCCAGCTCCTTTATGGATTTTGTATTGTCAAATGTAGGAGCGTTGCGGAAATGCCGAGCCACAATCGCAGTTTTGGTTCCAGGGAGAACTAGAGGCGCCAAATACATGAAGAATCCTGGCATTGCGTATCTGGGAACATTGGAGTTAGGATACTTCTTCCGAATCACATCTGCAGTTCAGAATGAAACAAGCAGGTTCATACGTGGTTAAGATAACCAAGTGCACGGATAAAAAAGGCCATAAATAGCTGTCCCAGTTGTACGAAAGAACCTACCTGCAATTTCCAGCATGCTCATAGTGTCCCCATTGCATAGTATGTACCTCCCTTTTGCTGCGTTCTTCTCAAGAGCAACAACATGAGCAAGTGCAACATCATCGACGTGCACTATGCTGAAGTACAGACTTGGAGCCAGGAACAGCTGATTTTCCAAAAGTTGCCTTATCACCTGCACGGTAGAGCAAGGATACAACGTCAGTAGAGTGACTCTTTGTATATATTAAGGTAAGGATAAACAACTCTATCAGCATCTAGCCATACGTTGAGGCTTGTCCGAGCGTGCTCCTCACGTATAGCTTTTCCAAAGACCATGGTTGGACAGATTGTGACTAGGTCGAAGGTCCAGTCTTGTCCCTTGAGATCTTCCACCGACTTCCAGGCATACTTCTCCGCAAGAGTTTTGCCCATCGGGTAAGGATCATAAGGACCCCAATTTTCATTCCAATCTTCTTCAGTTAGTACTCGATTCGAGGAGTAGTCCATAACTGCAGCTGCAGATGACGTAAAAACCACCCGCCTGAAATTATGGAGGCCAACGAAGCAGCAGAAAGAGAGAGAGGAGTGAGACCACGGGAACAGAAGATGCGGGAACGAGCAAAGCTGCGTAAACGCAAACATGTTGGCGTAGGTTTGAGCGAGAAAATATTAAGTACTAGTTGAATTCCACGTCAGGTCCTCACTTGGCAGTCTTATGCTTGAAAATTGAAGAAAACACATTCTTTGTCCCCTCCACAGCAGCATCAATAACCGTCTGTGGATCCGCCACTTTTAAACTAACAATGGACGCCACGTGGCAGATAAATTCGCATCCTGCCACTGCTTCATCAAAACTTCCAGCCGTATTTAGGTCCGCAGTAAACAGCTCGAGCTTCCCTGGCCGTCCCTTTGCCTGCCAGCCACGTCAACTATGTCACACTTTCTGCTTTATAGTGGCCAATATAGTATCAGGCTGTTTCATCGTGGGCATTTTTGGTGGGAAGCTTATTGCGGATTCTTACAAGGTCGCGAATCCATGATGTCTTAGTGTCGTTCGTCGCATCCCTAACAGTTCCCTTCACGTGATATCCCCGATCCAGAAGAAGCTTGACAACATGGCTTCCAATGAAACCTGCAGCCAACTAGACAGCCATCTTCATTCCCAAATATTTCTTGGAAGGCATAGCAAAGCTGGACGGACGGAAAACCAGAATTTTACCAGAAGCTCCAGTGACACAGACTCGTTTCCCTTCGCCAGGCAACAAACCCTCACCGACCATTGGGAGCACCGGAGCACTGGATCCCACTCTGTTCTGTTGAACTGACTTCGAGGTGTGAACCAAGGAAACAAACATATGCACCCTGTCCCGAATAACCCCACAACCAAACAGTTCACCAGGTGAGCCCTGCTAGATCTAGTACACTTTATTAGCACACCCATCAACACTGAAATGGAGCTTTGTTGCAGATACTTTGCGTCGGTGAATAAGGAATACCAAATTTGTTTTCACCCGGTAGTTACCTCACTAAACTACATTGACAGGATTTTTCTGTACAGGTTGAGTTTCAATACTGGCTCGTAGGGCAGCTAGAGTTGAGGTATAGTACTACCTTTTCTTAGTTTTTGAGGTTGGGATATTCTCACTGCATCCAAGACAATCAACTGCTAAATATTTCATCATCACCATCTCAGCTTATGAACCAATGGATTGATACACCATGACCCCCCGGTTTTCAATAGAAGTTGTACACTGGGAACGATTGGGCCATAACTAGGAAACACTTTATTACACAGCACAAAAACGAAAAAGAAGCAAATTCACAGGTACACCATAAACTGTCTCTAAGCAGAAAAGAACGATATTACAAGTAATGAGCCATGGTGATGCGGCTGCTGCTGTTGTCAATGCTGACACAACGCATGAAAGTGCACATGGCAAGCCATGACACAGCGCGCATGTAGCAGTGGCAGCATGGGACCGCAACAGCAGCAGCAGCAGCAACAGGCAAACTAAATCCTAGCACAGAAGTCTCCATCACGTAGTCATTCGACCCTTGAGGCTGGTCAGGTCACACTTCGCTCCAGGCACGCCCCCGCCCCTGCCTCCCAAGTCCTATTCCCACCTTCCAACAGTCTGTGTGTTGTTCCTGTTTCAGCAGGCTCAACACTGACTTCACTGAGATAGTGAAAACGCTAACCAAGATGTCCAGCTGCAGTGCCTCAGCCCAAACCGGAAATTCCATGGCTGACGGGCATGGACCCTGCTGCTCCTTGACACTACTACCCCGCCTGTCAACCAAAAGTTCCTTGTTCTGCGATGCAGAGTACCTCCTTTCCCTTCTCAATCTCATGCATCTGAGGGTAAGGAATTGTGCTCCAGGGAAACTGCACTCGCAGCTAACGTATTGTTCCTAGGCGCCGCGGTCCCACCTCTCCCTTCTTCCACCCCCTCTCACTGCAGCCTCCCCGCTGCCCTATTCCAGACGTCCGCGTTAACACTATGCATTGTTTTGACACTATAACTGGCCGCTGCTCCCTATTGCTGCTTCAGGCTTCTGAGTCTGACCAAAAGGAGGAACGTGATAAAGCGAATCAGCAGCCCAAACCCTAGCAGCACCAGCAGGTTCAGCCACATATTCAGGTCGGGTTGCCCCACCAATGTTGTCATCAGCTGCTGCCCGTCCTGTAAGCACGTCCCTGCCGAAATGTTGCTATAGGGCGTACCCGCCAAGAGCGACCTCATTCCCAGAAAAGCTTTGTTCATCGTTGTCGCGTTAACGTACGGCTGCAGCGGAGTGTTATCGAACATGCTTCCAGCGGCGATGTAGCAGGGTCCGCCGTGGGTGAATTCGCTCTGGATAAGCGCCTCGTACGCATATTTCATAGGCGAAAGGTAATGCAGCCAAATCCAGTAATTGGGGATGCTGTATTTGGGAATGTAGAAGCCGCTAACCAGGGCGAAGTACGCCATAAGCGCGATTCCAGCGGCATAGGCGAGCACAACGCTGTTTAGGGAAGGGACGAGGGAGACGAGGAGAGCAGGGAAAGGGTTAGAAAGTATACGGGAACAAGTTACGAAGGGACTTAAATGCGGTGATAGAAGCAGATAGGATATCGTACATGTAAATAGCAGTTGATAGGAAATGATCGCAAAAAAATGCGAGGGCAATGGATAAGGAGAAGGAGAAGGGAGAAGAGAACTTACTGGTCGACAACGACGCTGATAGCGATGGCGAATGAGCTGGCCGAGAAGAGGATAAGGAAGCACGTCAGCAGCATGAAGAAGAATCCCGCAGCGCCGCCAGTGAGGTTGATCGCCCACCAGTTCTCGAGCACGAAGATCGACGCCATGGCGAGCTGCAGCGGCAGGTACACGAGCGTGGTCGCGACGAGGTACGTGGAGGGGCGGTACGCGTTGCGCGTGGTTTCGCGGATGAAGATGTTTCGCTCCTCGATGAAGATGGGCACGGCGTCCAGGCAGCAGAAGAAGAGCACGCAGATGGAGAAGGAGAAAAACGCCAGCCGCTCCTGGAAACCCGACAAGCTGAGGATGGGGAAACGGGGAGAAGGAAGGATGGGAACGATTAGTCGTTTGGCAAAACAAAACAAATTAGGAAAAAAAAACTGTGTTTGGAAAAACAAAACATAAAAAAATAGGCCTCTTCCAGCAAGGCTTCGGAAAAACGGCTGAACCAGTCCGGCCAACACATATTTTCAGTTTCGCTCAAACCGTCGGCTTACCTCTCGTCTGGGTTGAAATAGAGCGTCGCGAGCATGACGCCCGTCACCGCCACCAGCGCGAGGCGCAGGAGGTAGAGAGCCGGCGTGCGCCACAGATTCAAAGCCGCGCGTTTCGTCAGTACCATCAGTTCGCCCATCCACCCATTTGCGTACCGCCGAGTGTCCGCCATCGCGCCCTTGTCATCCACTTTCTCCCCGATTATGGACTTCTGCGCGGTGATCGCGGCGGCGGATGCGGCGGCAACTACGGCGGCATCGACGGCGGGATTTGCGCAGCTGTCGATCTGCACGGCGACAGCGCCATCGGCGGTATCAGCGCGGCAGGATTTCGACTCCACAGAGGAATGAGGGGCAGGAAGAGCGGCGACGTTCTCTGCGACGCTGGTTTTCGTGAGTGACGACTGAAGGGTGTCCTGCGACATGTGCGACAACTGCTGGTACGATGCGGCGTATGCGACAAGATCCGCGACCCCACGCTCCGACCGCTGATAATCCTCGATTAGATCTAGGGCGAACTCTGTGCTGTTAGCGAACTGCGGCACGGGACAGCCGAACGACGCGAGGAACGTGGGAAGCTGGGGAGGCGGCCCGTGGAAAATAGTATGCCCCGACGCGAGGAGCAGCAGACGGTCGATTAAAGACAGCACGCGGAAACTAGGCTGATGCAGGACCATAATGGCGATGCTGCCGGTTTGCACGGCTATGTCTTTAATCGCCCGCACGACGCGGTACGCGCTGGTGGAGTCTAGACCGGACGTGGGCTCGTCGAGGAAGAGGATCCGCGGATCGCTCACCATCTCCACTCCGATCGCGACGCGCTTGCGCTCACCGCCGGACACGCCGCTGTCGGGAAGAATGCCGAGGGGAAGATACGAGGAGGAAATGCGATGAGCGAGGGGACATTGACGAGAAGGAACTGGCGGCGGTGCGCAGAATGAGCACGTCCTAGGACAATGGCGAAACAAGAGTTACCGAAATACACCGAGACACCAACATGCACCGAGGGGGGAATGAGAACTATTTTTCTGTCTTACCGTTGGCTTTCGTTCCCGATGAGCGAATCGGCCACCTTGGTGAGCCCAAGCAGCTCCAATAGGCTCTCCACCTTTCGCTCCTTCTCCTCCTTCGTCACTCCGTTCGCCGCGAGGCGCAACTCCGCCGCGAACATGAGCGTCTCGCGCACCGTCAGCGCGGGGAACATGAGGTCGTCTTGCATCACGTACGCCGACATGCGCCGCATTGTACTCCCGCGAACCACGGCGCCGTCCAGCTCCACCGAGCCCGACCGCCGCTCCTTCGCAATGCGGTGCGCGAGGATGTTAAGGAGCGTCGTCTTGCCCGACCCGCTCGCGCCCATGATGGCCGTGACCTCGCCGGATCTCGCGGAGCCGTTGATATCGGCGAGAATCGTACGGCTATAATGCTTCTTCATCGCCAGCTGCCGAGAAACGGAGCTCATTCTGCTGCTCGCTCGGCTAATGCTACTCCCGTTGCTCCCGCACCTCCCGCCACTTCCGCTTTGGGAAACGCTTCGGCTGCTGGCGGCAGCACTCCCACCAGCCCCGGCGTCGCTCCCGCGCTTGCTGCGCGTAGAGACGGTGTACGACACGTGGCGAAAGCTGAGCTCCATGGTCCTGGAGTAGAGTGGTTTCTTGAGCACCCCCTCTTCGGATTCGTCTATCGAACCGCAGTCGATCTCAACTTGATCGGATTCTGACTCGGTTGATGATGAGCAGGACGACGACGAGGAAGAACCCGAGGCAGACACGCGATCCGGCGAGGACTCTTCGGAGTAGCGCATTTGGTAGGAGATGGTGACGGCGGTGTCGGCGGCGGGAGAAGCGGCGTCGTTGATGGGAGAGTCGGGGAGGAGAGGGGCGGAATGCGGAGGAGGCGCAGCTCGCGGAGAGGCGCTTTCTGTGGCCATTCCGCGTGTCTGTGGGGAATGGCGCGTTCGGTCGACGAGTACGGGGTCGTTGGGTTAATGGTATGTCGCGGATCTTAGGTTAATGCGATGGAAGTAGGTCTGAGAGGCGTGACGCCGAGAAGGAATGGCCCGTGAATATGGAGTAGTTCAAGTTACTCAGTACGAAATGTGATTGCAATAAGAATGCAGAGATAGGTAGCAGCTCTCACACAATGCGGCCGTCTCAAGGCTCTAGTCGCCTTCCAAGCTGGGTGCTTTGGTGATGTTTGGGCTGCAGCAGCTGTGTGCTGGCAAACGTGGGCGGTGCTGCTGCGATTCTCGCTTGAAATGGCAGGAAAACGCTCAGCTCCTAGCACAAGTTATACATATGGTGGATTTGTGCATCGTGCCGTGATGACAACAGTTTTTCCACTTGTGTGTGAGAAGAAAATGGGAGGAGGGGAGAGGGGAGAGCGAGGAACAAGAGGGGCGAGGTTGTTGAAATTTGCCTCGCTGGATGCGCGTTGTTGCCGAAATCTTTTCCCAGCCTGTTGCATACCTTCCCCGTCGCCCCGAACCTCCCTCCAAGACCGCAGGATATTCCACCCGACAACAGTGACTATCTCTTCCCCCCCCATTTTCCCCCACCCCCAAAACCCGACCCAGACCCACCCAACCCAAACAAATCCCCCCCTTCCCCCCACCCCATCCCCTCTCCCAACACTGCCATATCGAGGCGCTGCGCAAGCGGTGGTCCTTGGACCTTGACACCACCCTGCTTTGGTTCGCTGCAGCGAGTGTCTAGTGGCGCACGTTGAAAGGCATGGGCTTGATGTTCGGTGGTTTGTAAAACGCGCCTTTCGCCGAACCACATTGATCAACAAACTGTACATGGTTGGACGAATCGTTGGAGAAGGGGGAAAGGTTGTTGCTGGTTGGTCGAGCGCTCGACACCTTCTTGGGAAATTGGGTTGGGGGAGCTGGATTTAGTGGATACGATATGGTAGCTAGGAAAACGCGGTGGCACTGACTGGTTTTCCGCGTGGAAGGGCAGTCGTAGTAGGCTCTTACGGGCAGGAGATTCTACTCCACAATTCCTTGCAGCACTGTAGTGACCGAGGTTATGTACAGTGCTTCGGAATTGTAGAGCTAGAGTTAGGGAAACTCGAAGACTTTTTCTTGCACGGCAGCAAAGCCTACGTTGAATTGGGCAGAATACACCACCACAATCACCTAGCAACGAAGAACAGTAGCAAAGCTGTATGGTCTTGAACCACACACCACCATCAGTCGCTCGTTGTGGGTCGCCTACGCAACCCGACATGGCTACGCCGATTCCGCCAATCACAAAAGACGGCCCCAGGTGTAGTGTCGGACCGAAATGACAGGCTGTCTCGCCTAGTGGCTGGGGTGCACCACTAAAAATGACCGAATTTCATGTGAAAACACTTTCTGACATACACCCACTTTCTCGCCATTGTGGATTCGGTTATAATAAAGTCAAGATGGGGAAAGCACGGTTAACGGTGGTTAAATTGCGTTTCAGTATGGTTCAATTCGGCAAATCGAATATAGCAAGGTTTTCCACCTGTTCGGCACAGTTCAGTGTAGCGAGAAACAGGGTGACAGGGTGAGTGACAAACAGTCACGCTGGCTGAGTCAATTTGCAACGAAACGAACTTCTGTAGAGCTGAATGACAAGCACTGAATACATCTGGCTTTGTAGTTTATGCAAATATAGAACACAAGCACTCATGCTAAGAACAATATGTGGTTCACACCGGCTACACAAAAAAGGATCACACCATGGGGGCATCACAAAAAGCACCTAGCTCTTCAGTCAAGCTAGGAGCTTTTAGGGAGGCCACCTGGTGGTCTTAAGAATTCTAGAAAACAGCAGCACGACTAAAGCCTGAAATTCTCCCACATCTACCAATGTCCGATCAACGCTAATTATTCCCCAATATCAATCACCTGGCCTCCATGGCAACGCCTTACTGCTTGCAATGCATGTGATCGTCGTAGGATACTGCCAACACCTCCATCATCAAGTGCCAATGCATCTCAGCTTGAGGGTTACCTCCCCAGATCTCCGCTTCAAAGCATCACATGAATCCCCAGACCAGCAAGCACCCCTCCAGTGCCTCCCCAACCCTCCACACGGCGATTCGGGTGAATCCCACTAAAGTGCGGTAGTCAATGCCAGTTCAAACAGAATTTGCTTTCGACATCTCCTTTCAGAGCCAGTTACAGCCTTCTCTCACTCACCCTCTCTTGGTGCGAGACAGCCTGACCAGCAGCAGCCAGTGCAGCAGGCGCAGCACACACCCCATCCCCACCAGCACCGCCACACACTCCCACTTGCTCAACTGCGTCAGCCCCAGCGAGTACACCAGCAGCTCCGGCCCTGTCTGTAAGCATGTACTTACAGACAGATCTGTAAACGAAGTCCGAGCGAGCGCGGGGCGAAGCACAGCTAGCGACTGATTCACCTGAGCAGGCGAGAGGAGCACGGAGAGAGGAGTGGCGGCGAAAAGATCTCCCGCAGGCTGGTAGCAGGTGGAGGGGCCGGCTGCGGCGAATTCGTTGAGGGTGACTGCTTCGTAGGCGTATTTGACCGGTGAGAGGTAGTGCAGCCAGATCCAGAACGGTGGAATGCTCTGCCGCTGGATGTAGAAGCCGCAGACAAGGGCGAAATTGGCCATTGTGGAGATGACTATGGCATAGGCGAGGATGACACTGTGGGGGGAAGGGGGAAGGACGGATGGGGGAGAGGACGAAGGAAGAGAGAGGTGGGGAAGAGGAGAAAGGAGAGGGTCGTTGAGTGAACTTGGATGAGGGCGAACTTGGCCATGGTTGCGATGACTATGGCACAGGCGAGGATGACTGGCTATTTTTGCGAGGAGAAAGAGAGAGCAGGGAAAGAGGGGATGGAGAGGTGAGGAGAAAAGAGAGCGTTTGCTCAGTTTGCTAAGTCAGTCAATGGTGGTGGAGATGACTATGGCATAAACAAAGTGACTCTTGAGTCGACTCAGAGGTGACTTTCGAGTCGACTCAAAAGACTTTTGCTAAGTCAATGGTAGTGGTGGAGATGACTATGGCATAAACAAGCATGACACTGGCCGGAGAAGGTGACGCGATGGGAGGTGGCTCTTGTGATGTAGTGGAGCGGAGTTGCTCGAGGAAGGAACAACCATGGTGAGTGCATGTGAGCAAGTGTATTCACTTGCTCACAATCCATCTGACAGTGCTGTCACTGCAATGTGACTTGGTGGGGTAGGTGTGGGCAGTGGTGCAGTAGAAGCGAAAGTGTGCGGCAACAAAGATTCACTTTCTTCTCACACTTAATTGCTCACACCAGCACTGATGATGAGGCAAATCCCACGTGAAGGGGCAGCAGATGCAGACGATCACCACAAATGCAAAAGGAGTTGCACACACACAAATCTTTGTAACAATCTGCAACGACTCAATAGACTCACTTGTTGACAGCAGCACTGACGAACGTGGCATAGGCATTCCCCGTGAAGAGGCAGCAGAAGCAGACGAGCACCACAAAGAAAAACGAGGTTCCCCCGCCGGACAGGTTGACACACCACCAGGACTCGGCAGTGATGGCAAGGGCCATGAGCACGTGCAGAGGCAGGTACACCAGGGTCGATGCCACCATGTATGTGGACGGCCGGTACGCGTGCTGCGATGTTTCCCGGATAAAGATGTTGCGCTCCTGAAGGTACGGAGGACGGGAAGAAAACGGTACATTTCAGGGGTTGAGAAGGGTGCAAAGGGGTGGAAAAAGGGTGAGAGCCTTGAGGCGGATCCGATGAGGAACCAACCACCATGACTCTGCAGTGATGGCAAGGGCCATGAGCACGTGCAGGTACACGAGCGTCATGCCACCATGTATGTGGACGGCCGGTACGCGTGCACGAAGTCTCCTGGATGAAGATGTTGCGCTCCTGAGGGTAAGGAGGACGGGGAAAAAGACGGTGCATTTGAGGGGTGGGGAAGGGTGGAAAGGGGTGGAGGACGGGTGTGAGAGCCTTGAGGCGGGCTAGAAGGGGTGCCACCAGGACTCGGCAGTGATGGCAAGGGCCATGAGCACGTGCAGAGGCAGTTACACGAGCGTCGAGGCCACCATGTATGTGGACAGCCGGTACGCGTGCTGCGATGTTTCCCGGATGAAAATGTTGCGCTCCTGAAGGTGGTTAGGGGGCCAAAGACGAGGAAAACGGGATGCAGTCCAGGGATGCGAAGGGGAGGGAAGGGATGAAAAATGGACTGTGAGAGAGTTGAGCCGGGTGGCATGATGTGCCACCAGGACTTGGGAGGGCCACGAGCACGTGCAGAGGCAGGTACACCATGTATGGTGTCCATGCCACCATGTATGTCGGCGACAGGGTGGTATACGATTGTACCCCATTCCGCAGGGTGACAAACCTGGCCGTAACAGGTAACACACAGGGGGCACACACGGTAGCACCTGGCACACAGGGGGCTCGGGGCACATCGTATAAGCTGACCTAGCCGAGTGCCAGCGACCTGGCGCAGGGGGGACGGAGCCTATGGGCTCACCTGAATGAATAAGGGCGTGCACACGAGGAACGAGATGGACGATTCTGAGGCGACTCAGAAAGGGCCGAGCTGGAGCGAATCTGCTCACCTGGATGAAGAGTGGCGTGGCGTCAGCGGAGGAGAAGAAGAGCGTGCAGACGAGGAACGAGATGAACGCCAGCCGCTCGTGCAGCCCCTCCGCGCTGAAATTTGGCAAGGGGGAGCGCGGAGAGGGTTGGGGGAGGGTTGGTCGGGAGAGGGGGAGGGGACGAGGTAGGGGAAAGGGTGGGGAGTGCGGAGAGGAACTGGAGGGTTAGGAAAAGGGAGCAGGGGGACGAGGGAGAGGAGCAAGGGAAGGAAAGCATGCAGCGAAGAGTGGTAACTGGCAGAGGGACAGACTAGAAGTGTACATCAAACAGGACGTAGCAGACATCAGCAGACTGCAAAGCTCGCAAGGTAAGCCACTT